GTTGTGACATGATACAGGTTGTTGTGTTTGTTTTCAATTTTTCAGTATAAAACTTTTAAAATTTAAACAAGGTCTGTTTAAGACTATGTGTTGCAATATCTCAGATAACATAAGATTTAAAGTCCTGTGTTTGAAATCAGTGTAAACTAAGTATCTAATCTTAGGCCATAAACTCAATTTTTTCCTATTTAAATGTGAAAATCTTTTTTCATCCCAAGGAATCAGTAGCTCTGGATAAAATATTCTCAGTAAAGACTTTATTAAAATTTAACCATAACTAAAATTGTTAGACTAATGAGTGCAACGTATTAATACTGTATTTTAACCTATTTCCTACAAAAGCTCTTTGTATTTTAAACAGCCTTTTCATGTCTCTCTTCTAAGAAGTCAGTGTTTTAGTTTCAGTTCTATGTTTAGAAGGGTAGGCTATAACATTGGAGCAAGGAGGTACACTCCACATGTTTCTTTCAACCTAAAGGGAGAAGAATTGATGCAGAAGAGATGACATGATATTTTTGCAATTGTTAAACATAAGCAGATTCTTTGTCACGATACTTAAATAAATAGAAGTATGTCAGAATGTAGTATTTACTTCCAGATTATAAATGTGATGGGTAAATTACTGTTACTTGGCTACTTAAATTTCGTCCTTCAAAGAATTTTGTTTGATTTTCATCAGCAAGCATCTTTGTGTGGACATTGTTTTAGTCAAGAAAAGAAAAGAGGGAATACCTAGCAATAGCAGGTCTGGGAACTTGAAGGCCCATGAGATCCAAGGATTATCACATTAATTCAATTTTGGACAACTAAGTGAAAGATTAGGCTTCCCAAACTGATGCCTGGTTGTGGACTTCATATGTACCTGTTCTTTTGTAAGTTGATTTGTGTGTGTGTGTGTGTGTGTGTGTGTGTGTGTGTGTGTGTGTGTGTGTGTGTGTGTGTGTGTGTAGGTCTTAAGGATTGGAACAAGAGCCTGAGTGCTGTCAGCTTTTGTACTCAAGGTTAGCATTCTACCATTTGAACCACAGTCCCACTTCTGGCTTTATTTTCAGGTAGATGGAGGTTAGTTGGACATAAAGGTGTCATAGGCTTTCCTGCCCAAACTGGCTTTGAACCCAGATCTCAGCCTCCTGAGTAACTAGAGCTAACAGACATGAGCCACCAGCGCCAGGCTGAGTCTTGTTTTAATCACCAATATGTATACTATGTATTGCATTTAATTTTAATATTCTGTCTCTAAAAGAGTTGTTGATTTTTAACCTCCTTTGCTTTTTCTTGTGTGTTTGAGAATCTGGTCTTCTGTACCCTCCAGCAAGAACTGTAATGTAAAAGTGTGTGACTTCATTTAATCATGATTGTAATGCAGCGTCACTCTTTTTTTGTGACTCACATGAAATTAAGGTGATCAAATTCCAGGGACATCATCCTATGGAACTGTGAGTGGCCTCAGACCACTCATATCTCTGCCTTTGTGAGTGAATACTCGCTATAGACATACATAAAATACATGTATATATCTACTATGTACTTCCGTGGGAAACTTGCTACCAGTTTGAGTGGCCTGCTCATCTCGTGACCTATTATTTAATTGAGTCATAAGCATTTGAATGTTCTCTTGATTTTTAATGCCTTATGATCTCTAATGCTAAAGCCAGAACTTCGCCATGATGATGATGGTTGCACAACATTGACAGGATGTCTTAAGGACTGTCTCTTGTCTCTTTTTTCTTACACGGAGTTAATAACTTGCTGATGGCTACCAGGCACTCTCACTTCTTCATAGTTGATATTGAGGAACTCGTATGTTGTGATGATTGTTAATTGATTGCTACCTAATGGGTAAGCAGTGCTTTACACAGCAACAGTAATCCAACTCCATTGATGAAATCATTCAAATCAAGAAAAAAATATAATATGAACTGCAATAGAAATGGGAATATTTTACCATCTCTTGATAAAACATTAACAATTTATAAATATTTGCTAAATAGTATCCCTGTATAAAGGAACATACAATTTTAGCCAATACATTATCATATTTCCAACTTAAAACTAAATAGAAGTCCATTGTCAGTATATAATCACTTGCCTATTAGAAATACAAACTTCTAAAGGTTAAATGAGCAATAGAAAACAGCTAGAAAGACTGCCATTATGCAGCCATGTCTTAAATAGTCCTGTGTTCCTTAAAGATGTATAGAACCAAATAATTCAGTGTGTTAAAAATAATGTATAATGCATTTCTTCTAAAAATAAAGTGCTGGAAAAAATAACATTTTTGTTATCAAGAGATCTAACAACATCAATTGATGATATAAAATGACAAAATGTGTATACATCCTGTATGTTTAATATTTTAAGTGATTAAACAAGAATAAGTTGAAAAGTATATCCCGCCATGGATAAGCAAACTATTAGGAATCTACACTTCCCGCAGCTATTATTCCTAAATCCAATTATTTTGATATACAGTCGAAGTGTGTTTTTGTAGAACATGCACCACATTGTTGAAATTCTACAACCTTATAGAGAGGGAGACAAAGGAAAGGCTGGGGACCGGCCACCACCACAGCCACCAGGGCAGATGGTGGCCACCTGCAGACCCCAGTCCGCTGACTTGCGGTGGATGGCCGTGAAGTGAGGCCTTCAGAAGACACCTCCACTGCGAGGAGAAGAAACATGCCCCAAAGCAGCAGTGAAGTGCATCAGGCGAAAACCCTGAGAACCAAGAAGCAGCAGATAGAAAACTCAAACAGGAGGTGATGGTAGAAGCTCAAAGATGGTCATCTAAGATCCAGAATGCCAAAAGGGGCTGCATGGTGGAGGAGGAAGAGGAAGTCATTCCGACCGAGTTGTGCATTCTGGAACCCAGATGCTGGCTTCAGGGATGTTTTGGTGGAAGGGACCCATTTTAATTAGACCTTTTTGAAGACCCATTTGCTGACCTTTTGGGGACCAAAGGGGTCTTGGAGGAAGTGGGAAGCAGGGAGAAGGCTTGTGTCACTCTGCCTTCCCGGTTTCCTTCACCTGTGTCAGTGGGTCATAGAGGCCTCTCCCTCTCCCCCGTCTCCTCCGTGTCATTTGGCCATGGTGGGATGGGCAGCTCCAAGTCCACACCAATGTCCACTAACACAGTTAACAGCAGGAAAGGAGCTACCAAGAGAACACTGGGAATGGCCAAGAAGAGTAGAAATTGAAGAATACGGTCGGACAAGTCCTTGCCAATACAGAGGTCAAGGTGGGGCAAGAGGAAGAAGCAGGAGCAGAATAAGGAGTCGGAGAAGAGGAAGCTGACCACGGGAACCGCGAGCCTACTTGTGCGCCCTGGGTCGCAGCTTCTGCCTGTCTAGATGGCGATGGCTAGCACGCACTCATGGATTGGCAGGGTCAAGGCATTGCAGGTGGCCTGGTAGACATTTGGGACACAGCCTCGACTCGTTCCTTAGATCTTCTCCAGCACTAAACCCACGAGCGTGTTCTTTGAGTGTCGCAAGGTCCTGTCTGGTTCTTTTTGGCTGAGATTTTGTAGTGGTGAAGTTCAGGAAGGTACAGCCGGAATACGGCCACATCTCCGCACCTGCACCTTGCCCGTGGTGGCATGGTGTTATGGCAACTCACCCCATAACTTAAGGGTAACATAAATCATCAGTCCTTCTTTTTGTCCACAGTAATCTGACAGCACACTGTTGGCTATCTTAATTGCTTCACTTGTAAGATCATTCCTGTAGTTGTCGCTCTCTCCAACTCCAAATTTGACTGCTTAATTTTTGCTAAATCTCATCTTTCTCAGATCTGTAATTGTTCTTAAGAAGGTTTTGCTCAGTGATTCTGTCTCTAGCTTTTACAGGTATGGCTTATGCTGGGGAAAACCAAGCTGGTTATTCACACACACACACACACACACACGTATGCAAAATAACCAGCCGTTGGGCAGATGCTTGACCTGAATGCTTCAGTTGCACACTTGGGTCCCTGAAGATGGCGTCTCACTCTTGCACAGTCTGCTGAGCTCTGTCCTTGACTCACTCCCAGGCCGTCGCTGCTTCCCCTCTTTTCCTCCAAGCACCGGTGGCTGTGTGCTCCCTCGTGCCTGTCCTTGTCCACACGGCCTGGGACACTCCACGTGTGCTTTTTCCCCTGGGAAGTGATGACGGCGTTTAGGGTGTCGCACACCACCATGGGGAGATGCTATGATACCCCTGTGGTGGAGGTCCCGGCTGTGCCTGGCTCCATTGGACGTGGTAAGGCAGTCATGGTGGGGCAGGTCGGTATTAAATACATGTGGAAAATGTGACCTTCAAGGCACATGAAGAAAAATAAAAGTAAGAGAGTGAGGGAAAGAAGACGGAAACAAAACATATTGAAGAATATTGGCAAAAAACACACGTAGGAATGTAAATACACAATTATCAAACAAAGTAAACTCTAACAAGTATATAAAAGCCTGGAACTTCATCATGAGGGCAATATTAAAGGATTTCATTGAGGATTAAGCAGCATACTGATGTGTAGGCAAGAAGCTAATGTTCTTTAAAATTTAGAAAATACCATAATTCTAGCTACTCTAGGAGCTAAGATGTGATTATCACAGTATGAAGCCAAACTGGGCAAGAAAGTTCATGAGAATGTTATCTTGTTAACCACCAAAGAGCCAACAGTGGAGCTGTGACTTAAGTGGAAATGCCATTTTTTGAGTAAAAAAACACAAACAACAAACTCAGAGAAAGTACCCAGAATTTAAGTTCAAGCCCCAGTAGTGACACCAAATAAGAAATTTTAGGCAAATGGTTAACAAAGCAATATTAGAAAACAAGTCAACAGAGAAAATATAGTAGTTGACATGATGGGATAATAAAACATATAGAGAATAAATTTCAAATTTACTTGGCTCTGGCTAGAAAAATGAGTAAGAGTCATTTATTCATAGAAGTTATTACAACAATATAAACTAATATCTGATGGAAAAAGGAATATATTTGACCTAACATGTAAGTTTCACCTTAAGAGGGTGTATTTCTCCCGGGATGACTTCTGTCACGGAAGCCAAGCAGAAAATTTCTATCTGGTCTTAACAAGATAATGTAGCACTTGGGGGCAAAGATACACCCCAGTAGCCCTGCACTAGACACCAAGATGGAGAAGATCTCTACAGCCACCATGACCTCCCTCTTGGCACTGTGGTAGACAGGCAGAAAAGTGAGCCAGACAATGCAGAACAACAGCATGCTGAAGGTCAGGAACTTGGCCTCATTGAACGTATTAGGCAGGTTCCTGGCCAGGAAAGCCAAAGTGAAGCTGACCAGAGCCAGGAAACCCAGGTATCCCAGTACAGAGTAGAAAGCAGTGAGGGAGCCCTTGTTACACAGGATGATGAGGTGGCCATGTTCAGAGTGTGCATCTGTGTCAATGAAGGGAGGAGAGGTTCCCAGCCAGATTCCACAGAGAGTCACCTGGATCAGGGTGCAGATGAGGGTGATAAAGTTAGGAGCTCCCGATAGCAGAAGCCACCTCATCCTTCTCCCTGGAGAAGTGACCTTGAAGGCCAGAACCACAGTTACAGTTTTGGCCAAGACAGCAGAAACAGCTACAGTGAACACAACTCCAAATGTGGTCTGTTGTAGAATGCAGGTGCTGTTGTTGGGACGGCCAATGAAGAGCAAGGAACAGAGGAAGCAGAAGATGAGGGAGATGAGTAGGATGTAGCTGAGAGCTTGATTATTAGCCTTGACAATGGGAGTGTTCTTGTGTTTCACAAAGACCCCAAGAACAACTGTTGTGAGTGTAGATAAAAAAAGAGCCATGCAGTCCAAGGCCATCCCTAAGGGTTCTTCATAAGTCAAGAATCTTGCATCTGTTGGGAGGCACTGGTTTCTCTCTGTATTGGCATACTGATGATCTGGACACTTCATACACTGCTCCATATCTAGTGAAGAATTCAAATAAACATTTATCCATTTCCAATACTTAAAAGGAAATTAGAAAGTCCCTGTCTAGAGATAATACTGACACGTGAATACTTAGTAGCATAAAGTAAATATTACCAAGTATTACCAGACATGTTCACTTTTATTTTTATGTCTTCATCATGTTCCCACACTCATTCCCATATTCTCATATTTTAGTCTGATTGAAATTCTTTTGCTTGTAATGACAATCACAAATATTGTTTCTTGCCATTTCTAATATCATATGAATAATTTTCTGTGCCTCTTCATGCTGCCTTAATTCTCAGACATGTGTGCACAAGTCAAACCCCTTATTCAAAATTGTGGGTAGTAAAACTTCGCAACTTCCTCTATATTCTCTGTACAATATAAATTGGACAACTGTGACCCTTCCTTGAAGTTGTTATATTTGTCTCTTCTACTCACCTATAGGGGATGGAGAAATCTCTATTTGAAACTATAAAGTCATGCTATGCACAACACTTTTGCTTGCTTCTTACACCAAACCAAACCCAGAGTATTTTCTCCATTGCAAGAACAGTTCTAAGATCTAGGAAATAAAGATATACAAGATCTGTGTTTTCTGTGTAGTCTGAAGGTAATTTTGAAGAAGATGGGGACCTCGTGCTTAAAAAGATTTGCACTTACTATGACAGAAGTTAAGCTTACATTACTAAGTATTTGAATAAACATATATACAATAGACCAGAAAAAAATTAATCTTATACATAAATCAGAGCCCATGATGTTTTTTTCAAGGAGAAGAATCAACCAGTGTCACAATTAGATGATTAAGTGAAGGAAGGAAAAATTTGATTCTGTAATCATAATATACAACTTTTGCATTGGCTTGCATGGATTGGGGATACCAGCAAAGAAAATGAATTTCTCACTATGGCATGAACTTACCTGTCCCATTAGCAATCTCATTCGCTGAGCACGGTGTGCAATAAGAGCAACAGGCTGCCTTTTCTTCCTGAGGGGATTTCCTGTATCCAGGACCACAACCCTCACTGCAGGCAGAGTGAATAGGCTGAGGACAAGCACATATGTGTCGTAATTGTTTAGACTTTACATAATGCTCCAACAATCCATAGTTTTAAAATATTGAATTATTAGAATTGAAGCTAGAGGGGGGACTAAGATGGCGACAGGGCAGTAGGGAAACACCACAGCTCTCCCCAACCAAAAAGAGGGCTCACGTTCTATCACTTAATCTCCCCAAGAGACCGGCAACAACAAAAAGACAAACATCCAGAGAAAACAGAAGGAGGAAAAAAACAAAATAAGAGAGAAAAAGAAGAATTTCAGACAAGAGAAAAGCGAAGACCCCTCCCCCAATCTTTACTGGCCACACTGCAGCGCGTGAAGCCGCTGCCAACCCAGCCCAGTGGGGGCTGACAGAGTTCTAGAGACACAGGGGTTTGTCTGCAGGTCACCCACACAGAAGCCACCTGAGGTACCGATGTTGGACCTGCTGATTGCTATGAACAGAGAAACCTCTGAGCCAGGAGCTTGCATAAAAATCCCACCCTCACCCCTCACTGTATATCTGAGCAGAGAGGTTCCATTCCACCAAATCCACTCTGCACGACTCCAGGAACCCCAGTGCTACACGGTACACCCACAGAACACCAGAGCAGAAGAACTGCAAGGAACCAGTGCTGATCCAGAGAGCACAAACAGAGACAAACCCCAGTGCTCAGTGCACAGAGGCCCCTCCCTTACCTCTTGGGCAGAGGCTGCCCACCCTACGGCGCAGACCTGAACAGCATCAACTGAGACAGAGACAGAAGAGAAACATGCAGAGTGACCACCGCCCATCCCAGCCCACAACCACCTCAACTGAACTCTGATTGCAACAACCAATGACCTACATCACACAGAAACAGCTACTAGCTCCAGGGTGAGTACCCTACAGGGGACAGTGTATACCTCAAGGGAGACCACAGCTGGTGGGAATCCCTAGACCCCTACCTAGCCTCCCTATCCCAACATCTGGACCACAGGACCCACTAAAAATGGGAACTTTTCGAGAGCTCCACCAGCCCATGGAGCACACTCAGCTGGCCAGGCTAGAGCAAGAGTGCCCCCGGAAGGGACTTTAAATGCACAAGCAAGGAACACTGCCACTGGGTCCAGACACCCAACAGTGGAAGAAATTTGAACTGTGAATTCCAGGCTGCATAACCTAGGCAGGATACACAACAGCACAAGTCCAACCGGCGTGCCCCAGGCTAGGGATGGGACCCCGCCTGGGAATCCAGTGCCTGAGAAACACAACCAATTTCTCCCAACTGAACTCAGAAACTGAGCATATGCCTCAGCAGAGGGGAGAAAAACAGGGAACTGCACCCCCAGGGAAGCACGCCTGTGACAGCAAAAGACCCGAGGGGTCAGGACAAGAGAAGCCCAATCCGCACCAGAACCTGACCCATATATTCTAGGCTGGGAATTGGACAACACAGGCCACGAGCATCTGATAATAGTCATGATCTTAGGCTGGTAAGGTGGCTCAGCAGTAGAGTGCTTGTCTTGGGTGCATGAGGCCGTGGATCTATTACTCAGCACCACATAAGCAGAAAGGGCCAGAAATGGTGCTGTGGCTCAAATGGTAGGGTTCCAGCCTTGACCTGAAGAGCTGAGGTACAGCACCCAGGCCCAGAGTTCAAACCCACAACCGGCCAAAAAAAAAAAAAAATATCAGGAGCCCATAGCAGACTCCAACATCTGGAAGAGTGCATCCAGCACATCCGATCTCGACAAGAGCACCTGTAGGAGCAAACAGGAGCAGTCTAGGCTGTTCAACACTTCTAAAGGTGGGAACTGCCAGTGATCTACAGCAGAGAGCCGAGAACCCCTATGTGGTTCAGAACAACAACTGGAGGTTGGCCCCTAACAGAACTGAGATCAGGTACAGACTCTCTCTACCAGCACAGAAACAGCAATCAAGCAATGACAAACACCTATTGAACAAAACAAAATTTCAGATTAGTCTCCAATAATCCCTGAATCCCTGCAAAATCACAGAGAAAAATTACAAGGTTTATCAATACCCAGGATAGCAAGCTATCTCCAAAAGCAAGCAGCCACCCAGGGGAGAGCTCCAGTGGGAGCAAACAGGAATGGAAGACAAAAGCTACATCCAAGAGATGCTGTAGGCAATGACTCAAGAAATAAAGTGAGAAATAGACCAGAAATTGAAAGAGCACAGGTTCGAAATATTGAAAGAGATGCAGGATATCCAACAGGAGATGCAAGCAAAAATAGAGGCAGACCACACCTCGCTAAGAGGTGAGATTAGTGCCAAAATAGAAGCATACACTCCTCATTAAGAGGTGAGATTAGGACTTTGAGAACCAATATTGAATCCATAAATGAGTCCATTTCCTCCATGCAAACCACAATGGAAGCCACAGATAATAGAGAGAACGAAATGAAATGTAGAGTGTCAGATACCGAAGACAGAATATACCAACTGGACCAAAAATTTACAGATATGGAAAAATCACATAAATTATGCCGAAGGGAAATTCAAGAGTAGGCAGATAGTGCCAAGAAATTTAACCTTCGTATAATTGGAGTAGACGAAGGTGAGGAATATCAAAGCAAGGGAATGCAACAGCTATTCAACAAGATAATCAGTGAAAATTTCCCCATCTCAAAAAAGAACATTTTACCTACATGACAGAAGCATATAGAAAACCTAACAAGCAAGATCCCAGGAGAAACACTTCTAGACACATTATAGTAAAAATGATAGATCTGAATAATAAGGAAACAATCTTGCATGCAGCAAAAATGAAGAAAGAGTTCTACTACAACGGGAAAAAATTAGAATCACTGCAGATCTCTCCACACAAACACTGAATGCAAGAAAGGCCTGGGAAAGTACCATAGGAGCCCTGAGAACAAACAACTGCCAACCCAGACTGATGTACCTGGCAAAGATAGCATTCACATTCGATGGAGAACTGAAAATTTTTAATAGCAAAGAAAAACTAAATGAATACAGAAACATTAAGCCAGCATTACAAAGAATACTAAGAGGGGGAACACAACCTGAAGGATGCAACCGGGAACAGGGACCTGTACCCAGACAGGCAGTAATAGACGTCTAATTGAGCAAACACAGGAGGAAAGGAAAGAAGAAAAACTTAGGAAAACAGGGAATGACAGGGACCACAATGCATCTCTCTATACTGTCTCTTACTATTAACAGGCTTAATTCGCCAATCAAAAGAAAAAGAACTGCAGACTGGATCAGAAAACATGACCCATCCATCTGTTGCCTTCAGGAGACCCACTCCTCAGCCAAACATACAAACAAACTCAGTGTGAAGGGTTGAAAAGGATCTACCAATCAAATGCCCCCAGTAAGAAAGCAGGTGTATCAATAAAGCAGGTGTAGCAATCCTGATATCTGACAAAATGAACTTTTTATTGAATTCAATGCACAAAGACAAGGACAGACACAACATACTAATACAGGGAACAATCCAAGAGGAGAATATTACTATCATCAACTTACATTCCCCAAACATTGGTGCACCCAAATATGTTAGGCAAATACTCTCAAACTTACAGAATAAAATAGATCCCAATCTGACAATACTAGGAGACTTTAATGCCCTACTCTCACCAAAGTTTATGTCTACCAACCAGAGGATTGGCAAAGAAGCTACCGAATTAAGTGAGGCCATACTTCATGTGGAACTAACTGACATCTACCGAGTATTTCACCCTGAAACAACAGAGTACACATTCTTCTCAGCAACTCATGGAACTTTCTCCAATATAGACCATATCAAAGTTCATGCAAGGAACTTAAGCAAATACAAGGGGATCAACATAATCCCCTGTATCCTATATGACCACAATGGAATCAAACTAGTTCTCAATAACAAAGCATACCGCAGAAATTACTCAAATACATGAAAATTGAACAGTACATTTCTAAGCAATGCCTGGGTAACGGAAGAGATCAAAGATGAAATTTAAATATTCCTACAACTCAATGATAATGAAAAACACATCACAAAGAAACTTGTGGACACAGCAAAAACAGTCCTGAGGGGCAAATTTATTGCCCTCAGTGCCCACATCAAGAAAATAGAGACAGACCAAGTAAATAATCTCATGTTGCAATTAAAACAGCTAGAAAAATAAAGAAAAAATGGAACCTAAATTTACTAGATGGAGCCAGATAACCAAACTAAGAGTGGAGATTAATGAAATAGAGAATCGAAGTCATAGCCAAAATTAACCAAACAAAAAGCTGGTTCTTTGAAAAATAAACAAAATTGATGGACCACTGGCAAGATTAATTTAAAAAAAGAAGAGAAGAAACCCATATTAACAGGATTAGGGATGCCATGGGAAAAATCACAACACATACCCAAGATATCCAAACAATTTTAACTGACTACTTTCAAAAGTTATACTCTCTAAAGAAAGAAAACCTGACAGAAATGGGTGCATTTTTAGAGAAACACAAGTTGCCAAAACTGAGCAAAGAAGTTAATCAATTAAATAAGCCAATGTCCTACAACAAGATACAAGAAGCAATCAGAAGTCTTCCAACAGAGAAAAGCCCAGGACCAGATGAATTCACAAGAGAATTCTTAAAGACCCTTAAGATCCTTAAAGAAGAAATAATACCCATATTCCTCAAGCTCTTCAAAGAAATAGAGAAGGAGAGAGCTATCCCAAACTCATTCTATGATACCAATATCACACTCATCCCCAAATCAGGCAAAGACCCAACTAAAAAAGAGAATTACTGGCCAATTTCCTTGATGAACAGATGCAAAGATACTTAACAAATTTCTAGCTAATAGAATCCAGAAAAACATTAAAAAATCATACACTACAAAGAAGTAGGCTTCATCCCAGAGATGCAGGGATGGTTAACATAGGTAAGTCAATAAATGTAATCCAACACATCAACAGAGCCAACGTCAAGAATCACATGATTATCTCCACAGATGCAGAAATGGCCTTTGATAAAATTCAACATTCATTCATGCTAAA